CCTCGATTCTTTGTTCCTCTGCATTTCGTCTGCACGACGCCGTAAAATATTTGCCAATTGAATACTTTGCGACGTATGGCTTTAGACGGGACTGTTCTTAAGACGGATAGATAGCGGCACAATGATATTATATCGTCTGGATAGATGAGAAAAAAAATGATTAAAAATAACATATAAAAAAAAAAAAAAAAGAAATTACCTTATACGTTGAATGTTTAAACGAAAAAAACAATACAAAGTATATGAGAGAGAGAGAGATTGAGAGAGAGAGAATTATATAGGAAAGCTTCGTAAATGTATTTTTGACTCGGGTGAGTGTTTAGGATTGCATTGAACACCAAAAGTCCTTCAAAAACTGTACCAAATGAGCCCTTTACGAAATTAAGAAGTGAACTTCTCTCTTTTTTCGCACGATACGTTCGAAAAAATTCGTCGTTTACGCGCTCGACATCGTCACACATATTCGATGACTAATGTGTTCTTTGTCTTTCTGCCATTTTTTTCTCAAAGTTTACTGTTATAGTGTTAACGAACCGCATTCGCGTGATAAAGGACCTCGAGATCATTAGTTGTCAACCGACGACAAGTTTCGATTCGTGGACTTCTAAACACTCCGACACATTTGAAAACGTTCATCGTAATCTTCCCCATTCTTCCGGTTCCCCTTGTCCTCGAGCCCTGCTTTATTCATATAATCTATATACATATATATAAATATATATATATATATATACCATGTATAACCGTTGAATTGGCAATGGCGTTCAAAGAATTGACTATTTTTTAAAACGACTAAAAAGATGAGATGAAATATCGAATGTCAAATTATTAAACGAGGATCCGGGTTGGCGGTGAGTTGATCGGCGCGGCGTTTCAAAAGGCGGATTCAACGTGCAGGGTCGCGAGAACCATTTTGTCCCACGCAATTACGCTGTTCGAGTAACTTAATGAAACATTAAAGAAGAGAGACGGAGAAAAAAAAAATCGCAAAACGAAAAAGGAACAAAGTGAGAGAAAAGAAAAAAGGAAAAAAAAGAAAGAAGAATTAACAAGCGAACAGATATTCGCCTCCTTAACTTCCGTGAAGTTTAGTCTCGTTTCAGTAAAAAACTTTCTATGACAGAAATTTGAAAAAAAAATAAAATAAAATAAAATAAAAAAGAAAAAAAAAAAAGAAAGATAAAGTATCACGTTTCTCCCGGAATTTTCGACCGCGGGGTTCATTCGCGGAACACACTTACGAAAGAATACGAGTATAAATATAAATATATAAATATACATATAAAGATATATAGATATAAAAATACTTCTGGAATTAACGAAGTAGAAAAGAGCTCGAACGAGAGTATGATCGTCATTATTACCATTGTCGCATTGATTATTACCACAAACGTGCAAAAGACTCGCGGACTATGTGAGAGAAACGAACGTGAAATGTTATTAAAAATAGTTATTAAAAATGGCCGAGCTAGCTGAATCCGTCGGACCACACATGGTACACTCGATTCTCGCGAAATGAACTTCGTCCTTGACGGTTACCAAAAAACGACGGAGTTGAAATCAGAAACGGCACAGAAGTTTGAGCACAAGAGTTAGAACAAGTGAGTGTGATTTGTTTCAAGCAAAGGGAATGAAAGGAATGAAAGAGCGAGCGAACGAGAAAGGGAGAGAGAGAGAGAGAGAGAGAGAGAGAGAGAGAAAGTGAGAGAGAAATTAGAGAGTCCACATATGAGATAGAAACATATAAAAGAGAAAAAGAGAAAAATGAAAAACGAATGAGTGTGCAGTCAGTCATGCTACAGCTACTACGACCACTACCCTAAGTAGATTATGCTACTTCGCCGCTGATCTAATTGTTTACTGTCACGTGTTGCTGTAAACCTAAACTAACGATACGATATATTTTATTTATATAATCTAATCGACTGTATTTATTGTAAATAGTCACGATGTTTGCTATGATATAATATATCTGTAATTGAATGGAATTTGTCTGGAAACTGCGCCCACTGCCCTGTCCTCTATACGTGATCAACGACTCTCTGTACACGTACACTCAATCCACGAAGCATCAATGTGCATCACACGCACATGTATACGAATACATGCAAAGGTGTTAGACATATTATAACGTGTATGTGTATACAGTAATGCCCGGTTAAGCGTCCGTGAATAGGGTCCACCGGAATGGAGTTCACGTCAAAGTCGGTATGTACAGGGAAATTAAAGATTCCGAAATGAATCTCGAGTGAAGATTAGAATTCGAATGTCGCGTTGATTTCAATTCAAAGGGAAAGTAACGGTATACTTTCGGTCTTTTCAATCTTTCTATCGACTCGAAAGGAGAGCATCCGGAAAGTTAACGAAATTTTTAGCGGACGATTTAGCGGACGATCGCGGTGATTCATAGAGAAATGTAGCGGAGGAACTATCGACAATTTTTTCTAATCTAGGCTAATTAAGAATAGAAACCGTGGAAACGTTTGTACCCTTTGGTAATAGAGGCAAGTGGACACTTTTCCGGAGGATTACTGCAACACACAATGACGAACGGGGGACAAGAAAACAATGAGGTGCAAAGCACGCTGCTCGCGTAGCCCAGCGACAATGGGAGAGATAAAGACAGAAGATTCTCTGTATCGCGTTCGACGAATTATTACAATGTCAATATTTCATGTTGCAATGGCGAGATTATTCTCTCGTTGAAACTCTGCCTACTACTACTATCACCATCATCATCATCATCATTATCATCGTCATCGTCATCATCATTATTATCATTATCATTGTCATTGTCATTGTCATTATTATTATTATTATTA